AAGGGGGGGGGGGGACTCTCATGTCTTGCATGCCTTAGCCGTTAGACCATTGACCAGGCGTCCTCGAGAGGACGGAGGATTGTTCCCACAGGATCGATCACCGATGGCCAATCGTTCCAACCTACTTCGCCAAGGGTGGGTCAACACTATGTCTTAGCTGTTAGACCATCCTCGAGAGAGAGAGGACGGAGCGCCAGGGGGGACAGGGTGCAATAATTCCCTCACGATACCACTGCTTCAATAGGACGGTTGGAGTTGTGTCACAGCCTCCCAAAAATTGTCTTTGGGAAGGACAACTCCGTCGGGGGGGGCGGCGGGGTGGATACAATTTTCGTTGGTCAGTCACAGCTACGTAGGTTTTTCTAACCTAGCGATCATACTGGATAAAGTATTTAATCGGCTAAGTTGGGGTTGGGGTTAGGGTTAGGGTCTGCGTGCCCCCTCCCTTGTTAGGTGTTAGGTCTTTTTCGTATCTAAGTACTGTACGTAGACAGTGAGTCGGTCAGCGTGGCCGACGACAACGAATAAACAAAGAGGGCGGTTCGTCACCTCATCGCTCTGGGTGTTCTCGTGGAACATGCGGGTGTCGATTGCGGCCGCCACCAGGTTGTTCGCCGCCGTGATGGCGTGGATGTCGCCGGTTAGGTGAAGGTTGAACTCCTCCATCGGGACTACCTGCCGCCGCCGCGGCCGCCACCCGGAGTGAAAAAACAAAAAAGGGGCGAAAACAAGAGTATCACAGCAGCAAAAAAGTCACGACGAAATACGGGTGCATGGGCACCACGACCAATTTGCCCAGAATCACGCAATAAAAAAAAGGCGAAAACAAGGGGGTAAAAGAGCATCACAGCAGCCAAAAAGCAACAAAAAACCGTGAAAAAAAAAGGGTAAAAGAACCTCACGACCAATTCGCCCACATCATGCGATACACAAAAGGCGAAGAAAAGAGTACAACAGCAGCCAAATAATCGTATCACAGCAGCCAAAAAATCGTGACAAAACAAGGGAAAAGAGCGCCACGGCCAACTCGCCGCACAGAATCAAGCAACAACCCAATAAACGTAAACGAGCGTAGCCGTCAATAATTTTGCCACATGCACGATTGACGGATTTCGGAACAAGGGAGCGGAGGGGGGAGAGAGAAGGTCCGGCGGGTATGGTATGTGATAACTTGTCGCTCCCCAGTGCCCCCGCCCGTCTGCAATAGCTCCAGAGAACATACATTGGCACAGTGTCTCGATTATGTTGCCTGGTATTGCGGAGTATGTGTGCTGCTGCAGAAAAGCAAACAACAGAGAAACATGCACCCCCACACACCCTACACAACAGCGTGTGGATTCGGATACATGTAACTTGCTCTGCCACCTTCATCGAAACTAGAGTGTCCGCGCTGGGTTACCGTTCAAGACAGGAAAGACAAACACGGAGTCCCCCCCTGACTGTCCCCCCCCCCCGCCGCCCCTCCTTTGATACCGAAAGTGGGCCCCTGAGAGGGCTGCCGAATGTTCGCGAAAACTTTCTTCCCCAGGTGGGCCCCCAAAGCCTTCGGCATCACCACAACGCGCAGAAACGCCGGGAGGAAACGACGGTCATAAGAGTGAAAAACATAGGGGGCGGGGGGTTCACCAAAATAAAGTATACTTAGAGAGAGGGGAATAAAACCGAGATGAAGAGAGGGGAGTTGGACGGGGGGGGGCGGAAATGCACTCATGAAAACGCATGCCGTTGTCGGGGGGGGCGTGGGGGGTTACAGGCGAGACGCTGGCGTGAGGGTAACAGTTGAAATCAAACCACCTCGCCTTGGACGGACGAAGCGATGGTACCCCGAAGCGACAATTAACATGAAACACACACTGCAGCAGTTTGCCACTCTCGGGGTGCAAAGTGCGGGGGTATACCAATATCGAGAACACACCGCGACGGGCCCCCCACCCCGTGAGCAAGTGGCTCCTTGTTTTTCGGCACGAAACACAAAATTGATAGCCGTGTTGGGCAGCGGAGCTCAGGTACAATGCACCCCAAGAAAGAGTGACCCCCACTTTTTCCAGAAATTGTCTATCCAAGCACAACTCAGCAACTAGTCCCGTCAAGGTCGAGCACAACAAAGTATAGAGTCGGCTAGAGAGGTCGACCCCCCCCCCCCCCCCCCCCCCCCCCCCCCCCCCCCCCCCCCCCCCCCCCCCCC